TGCGGGCCGGTTGCCAACTGCACAAACTGGGATCCATGAGGGGGTTGGATACCTTTGGATCATAGGTAGCTCTGGGGAAGTCTGTTATAATTTGGAATGGCTGCTGAGCAACGTAGGTTGAGGGCTACCTGGACTGTAGTTGGAGGTCCTCCATTCTGGCCCTTGAAGATTTTCCAAAAGTTTATCTCAACCACATTGCAATTCTTAATAGAGTGTTTCTCAACCTGGGCACACATTTGAAGATGTATGGACTTCAACTCCCAGAATTCCCTGAGCCAGCGATGTCAGAAGGTTGCAAAAGGGGATCACATGACCCGGGGACTCTGCAACCGTCATAAATAGGAGCCAATTGCCAAGTGACTGAATTTGGATCACGTGACCGTCGGGAGGCTGTAACGGTCATATGCGCAAGGACCACCACTTTTTCACTGTAATTTCAGTCGCTAAATGAATGGTTCTAAGTCGAGGACCGCCTGCATTTACTGACAGGGCTATATTCCAGCCTTTGCAGTCACTGCTTTGGGCCCCAGGTGTGGCCCTGCATCCTGTTTCCTTGCTCATCCTCAGGATTTGCAATAAGACGGGCTTTCCAAATTTTTTCCCCCTCTCTTCTGGCCTTATGCAAATCTTTTCCTTTCCTTCCTACCTTTTCCCCTCTGGCGACCGGGCTCCGTTTAGATCATTCTTCTGGTCAGGGGTTTGTAGGCAAAGCTTGTGCAGGCAACCGCAGGATCTGGGTTGCCCCCAGCGCTCGCTGATCTCATGTTTCCTTTACGAAGCGAACGGGGCTCTGAATCAGCCAGGCGTTCGTGCCTCAAACAAGGAAAGTTTGGCTCTTGTGCAACGGCCGTTGGTCTTTCAAGGAATTTGTGCTGTTTCCAGCTTTTTGGTTTTGAGTATCGCTGCTCATCTGGGTTACAGAATATTTCACCCAGGCGTTGGTGGGAGCAATGGCTGCTTATTTATCACTGGAAAGGAGGAAATGTATAACACTTTAAATAGTTTCTATGTACACATCAAAGGTGGTAGATGATCTAAATCATTATAAATTTTATTTTTAGTGATGCACTCTTGCTTTAAACATCAATAACCTAATTTTTATTCCTCCCTCCCTCCCTTCCTTCCATGGAATTAATTCCTTTCTTCCTTCCTTTCTCCCTCCCTCCCTCCCTTCCTCACCATGGAATTAATTCCTTCCTTCCTTCCTTCCTTCCTTCCTTCCTTCCTTCCTTCCTTCCTTCCTTCCTTCCTTCCTTCCTTCCTTCCTCACCATGGAATTCCTTCCTTCCTTCCTTCCTTCCTTCCTTCCTTCCTTCCTTCCTTCCTTCCTTCCTTCCTTCCTTCCTTCCTTCCTTCCTTCCTTCCTTCTTTCCTTTCTTACCATGGAATTCCTTCCTTCCTAACCCTAACCCTAATGCACAGACAGACAGACAGGCTCCGCACAGACACATATTTTGCTGCTCCAAAGCTGCTGCTTTGTCATGGCAAGGCAGGGCACATCTGAATGATGAGGAAGGAATCTGAAGAGGTGGAAATGGGAAGGAAATATGGATGACAGAGGAGGGCTGGGCTGGGATCAGCCTAAAACAGGCCTGGCAGAATCAATGCTTGTCCTGCTGCCAAATAACCAGCTTCTTCTCCTGACTGCCCAAGCAATTGCCATATTTCCTTGTCTAGACATGGAAAGGTCATAAAGTTAATGGTTCGTTGCACTGTAACAAGGGATCCATCCATCCATCATTATCTATTAATTATCTATTATCTATTATAAGAAGAGGGGGTCAAATTATTCTCCAAAGCACCAGAGGACAGGACAAGAAACAACGATTGGAAACTGACCAAAAAGAGAAGCAACCTGGAATTAAGAAGAAAGTTCCTAACAGTGAGGACAATTAACCAGTGGAACAGCTTGCCTCCAGAAATTGTGGGTGCTCCATCAGTGGAGGTTTTTAAGAAGAGACTGGACAATCACTTGTCTGAAATGGTCTAGGTTCTCTTGCTGGAGCAATGGGCTGGACTAGAAGACCTCCAAGGTCCCTTTCAGCTCTATTCTATTCTGTTCTGTTCTGTTCTGTTCTGTTCCGTTCCGTTCCATATCATTCTCTATCATCTCTATCTCCTATCTGTCTACCTACCTACCTATCATCTATTATCTTTGTCTCGCTCTCTCATCACATCTCTGTGATCAATATATATAAATTTTAAAAGACAAGAGAGATTTCTTAAAATCTCACAAGACAATTTCACATTCAGATGCAAATTAAATATATTTTTTTCCTTTACCTAGGCTGCAATCTTCTTTCAAGCAGCCCTAATATTTACCCAAGATACTTCCTTTCTTAATTTGCATTTGGGGAAAAATTTTGAAATTATTCATAATTTTCTTTATCAGTTTGACTGAAAGGTCAGCTTGTTTTTTTATTTCCTTTGTTTTGTTTTGTTTTTTAAAAAAAACCATTTTCCATCCAAAAGTTTTAACCTCAAGCTTTTCCATAATTCAGTAGAATCATTTGTGGCTCATTCTGAGACTTTCTCTTCTGAAAAAAAGAGAACCTTGTGAAAAAAAATTGCAAATTTTTATGTCAATCCTTCAACCCAAACTTCAAAAAGAGCAAAATGAGAACAAGCAAGGGAGTCTGGTGTCAAAAATCTAAATGTAGCAAAGGCTGATCTAGACATGCTGGCCTGGTATGGCTGGCTGAGGAATTCTGTGAGTTGAAGTCCACAAGTGTTGGAGTCTTCCAGATTGACATTTGATTGAAGGACACCTGGAATGTGATGAGTGTGAAGGATCTAGTATTTCCACAAATACCTCTTTGTGAGAGTTTTTGAGCTGCTCATAACAGAATCTTAGTTTCTAATATGAAACAACCTCAGAAATAAGAGCAGGCCACCTTAGACACATATGTATTGACTTCACCTTCCAGAATTCGTAGTCAACAAGGCTGTATTGGATGGGAACCCTGAGTGTTTGTTGGTTCATTTATTCTATTTCTATCCCATCTTTTCTCCAAGTGATCAAAGTGACATCCAAAGCACTATCTCTTTCATTGCACCTCCCAGACAACCTGTTGAGGTAGTTGGACTGAGAGATCCTGAACTTTGGTGGTCAAGAGAAGAATGGAAACTGGATGTCTCAGCTCTGAGTCCCAACACCTTCCCTAACTAGATCACGTTTGGCTCTTGGGCTGAGAGGGAAGCTCAAAGTCTTGAAGGTCACATCTGTGATTGAAGGTGGACTAGATCCTAGGCCTGGCCATTCCTAATCCAGTAACTTAAATCATTCAACCAGACCAGCTGTCCAACACATGGAAACTGAAGACTCCACCCTTTTCCACCAGTGAAAGAAAGCAGGAATTCAGTTAAATGGTACAAAAGTCAACTTAGATCAACAAACAAAAATGATATCGGAATTCCTTGACTTACCAGCACAATTGGGACTAGAACTTACATTGCTAAGCAAGAGGATTGTTCAGTGCCCAGGTTTACGACCCTTTTTTGCCATGGTCGTTCTGCAAATCAACATGGTTATTAAGTGTATTAAGCTGTTGCTAAACGAAAATGGCTCCCCCCCATTGAAGTTGGCTAGGAAAGTTGTAAATGACGGTCACAGGACCTTGGGATGCTGCAACCGTTGTGAATACATGAGGGTTGCCAAGTGCCCAAATTTTGATCACATGACCATAGGGATTCTGTATCAGTTGTAAGTCACTTTTTTCAGCACTGTTGTAACTTTGAACAATCATTAAAGGAATGGTTGTAAGTCGACCGCAAATCAAAGTTTGGACAAAATTTGACCTGTAGTCATGACAGCAGGCTTGGTCTGGGTTAATTTTGCAGCCCTAAGTCTTTAACTTCATTTTTTAAAGTGAGTTGTCTGAACACAGCCTGACCGTTTTTAAGACTGGAAAAGTATTTGACAAGACAAAGTCAACAGAAGCTCATGGCTATGAATTGTCAAGAAAAGTGAACTGTTCCTTTCTCTGGTGTGTACATATAGAACTGCTGACTAATGGTTAAGAAATATACCTAAAAGGGTGTGTCGTGAATCCCCTTAATCCAATGCAGTTAAAAATCTTTTGTAAATATCTACATGGCATCACATACAAACACCACAAATTATTGAGAGAGAGGGAGGGGGAGGGAGCGAGTGAGCGAGTGCCGGGCTAATTTTTTGTTCAAGAAAGGTAATCTTCCATCTGAAACTTGAGATTTCCTTTACATCAGCTGACTTCTTAAAAAAGAATTCCTTCCTTTTCAAGGTCTCTCTGAAATTCTCCCCAAAGGTCTGCAACCTTTGGCTTTTGGGCAAATCAAGAATATCTTCTCAAAACTGAGAAAAAGTTAACCAGCCGAACAGCTTGCCTCCTGAATTTGTCGATGCTCCATCACTGGAGGTTTTTAAGATGAGGCTGGCCAGCCACTTGTCTGAAATGGTATAGAGTCCCCTGCTCAAGCAGGGGGTTGGACTAGAAGACCTCCAAGGTCCCTTCAAGCTCTATTCTGATTGAAAAATGTAACCCAGAAACTTCCAAAGTGGAACAGCTCTAAACCTCTGATAGTTCTTGTATTCTTTCTTCTCCATCATTTTATTGAACGGAAATTAGTATTCTTGTGGCCTAAAAAAAAAAACTCATGCAAAGCCACCAGGGGGCAATCAAGCTATCCGTCACCCCTATTTTTCCACTCATGCTTGTGAAATGATTGTTAAGTGTGTGTGTGTGTGTGTGTGTGTGTGTGTGTGTGTGTGTGTGTCTGTGTGTGGGGGACTTTTTTTCCCCTATGCTGAGTCATCCGTGATGTAAGCATGAAGCTGGTTTTCTTGACTGAAGAGTAGTGTGCTTCTGAACGTTTTAAAAAAAATGCAAGGGGTGTGTGGAGAAGATATTCCCCCCCCCGAGTAATTAATGATCTCAGCTTCCCTCCCATGCCTCACTCAGTATATAACCAGTCACGATGTTCCTTTCTAGGCATCACTTTTATGAATGAACTCTCCTGCGAGCTGCTGTTCCTCTTACGTCATTCTAGGATGCAACTTTCAGTGAGAACCCTCTTTGCAGGTAACAAAAAAATCAAAAATCAAAATCTTTTCCCAAGCTTTGATTTTGCTTTGCCATTGACCCTGTCAAAGGTATGCAGCTGGAATTAACCAATTTCAAACTTTCGCTTTATTCCTTCTCTTACCCACCAAGTGAGGTCAAGCCACTGCTGGGTTTTGCTAAACGTGGACATTTAATCCCAAGGTTTTATATTTTCTTTTTCCTTTATTCCTGACTGCCTGGAAAACACCTGGTTCACGGCGCAACGAACTGCTTGTCTTAATCAAGAGGTGATATTTGAAGAAAATGGGGGAAACTAAGGATGTGGCGAGGGCCGGTTTGGTGTAGGGAGCTGAAGGCATCCAGTTAGAAATGGAAAGGTTGTGAGTTCAAGTTTTACCTTAGGCAGAAAGACCACCTTGGGACAGGCCTTCTTCCTCTGGACGCCAGGAGGCATCAGCGGGATGAAATTTCAAGGTTGCAAGGATACAGATTAGACATCAAGAAGAAATGCTTGATGCTAACAGCTGTCAACCAGTGGAATATGTCACGGCCTGCAAGGCTTCTTTCCCTTTCACTGGAGGTTGTTGGGACAGAGCTGGATCGTCATTCAGAGCAGGGGTTGGACTTGATGGCCCTTTTGTTCCCTTCCAGCTCTATGATTTTCAGGCATTTATTTATTAAATTCATATGCTGCTTGTTTTGCTATCCACGATGCTATGAAAAAAAGGGAAAGAAAAGGCGCAAAGAAAAGAAAAAAAATCTGCTGGGAACTTTGTGTAGATGTCAGGAAGGGCATCTGGCCAGCAAATGCTAAGCTCCGTCCAGTTGCCCCGATTCTAACCAGAATTGAGGGATTCTTGCATCCTAATAAGGGAGTTTTAGATGGCATGAAAGAAGTGAACTTGAATTGAATGAGCATACTTTGGTGTCTATTTTTACAGAGCAGGTCCCTTTTAGCTATGCGCCTTGGCCAATGATGGCAGGTCTTTCTGGACAAAGCAAGGGCTGTATTGCAACGCTCAGCGGTCAAAAACCAAACAGTGGCCATGTTCTCAGTAGACTGTGGGTTCAAGAGGGACTCCTTCCTCGATTTTGCCTTCAAATCCAAACTGAACAGCCAGCCCTATCAGCTTGCGTTCTCCTTCCTGTATTTGCAGCCTTAACAAAACAACCACATTGCGCTTTGTGATGTAACATTTGCTGGATTGCAGTTTCCAGCTTGTGGGTTTCATCACTTGCACAACCTTTCTCCCAGTCTTTTTTTTTTTCTCTCAAGATCACAACTCTTGAATGTCAGAATTCCCTGGGTCTTGTGCAATTATCCTTCTGCAAAGAGGTGTGCCTGTGTTTTGACTTGGACATGCCCAGGCTGAAGATTCTGCTAGATTTCCTGTTATTATTATTTTTTTTAATTTCCTTGCTGGGGCCTCTTTTCTCTTTTTTTCCGTCCTCCAGAAATCGTGTTATTTTTTTATTTTATTTTTTTGACATCTCCTTTTCTTCTGGGCTTCTTCCAGCTCTGTTTTGCTTTGTCATCTTTCTCAGTCGCTGGAGGCTAGAGCTGTGCTAAGTTTGGAAGGGTCTTTCCAGGGGAAACCTATCAAATCTCCCCTTTGATTTTTTTTTTAATGTTTGTCTGTCAAATCAATCAGGGCAGTGAAGTGGTGCAGAGCTTTCTCAGCTGTTTCAACACAAATTTGAACGGCAGATCAGGGTAGAACAGCTTGCCTCCAAATGTTGTGGGCGCTCCATCACTGGAGGTTTCAAGAAAAGATTGGACAGATACTTGTCTGGATGGTCTAGGGTCTCCTGCTTGAGGACAGGGTTGGACTAGAAGACCTCCAAGGTCCCTTCCAGCTCTTATTCTGTCATTAGAAGTCTTTGATTCTAATAACAGTTATTCTTCTATGTTCTGTTCTATGTGTGAGCCAAGTTGAGAGGCTGTAATAGAGAGAGAGGATTGACTTGCTCTCCAAAGCACTTGAGAGCAGGACAAGAAGTAACAGGTGGAAGCTTGACGGAGGGAGATCCAATCTAGAGTTAAGGAGAAATTTCCTGACAGTGAGAACAATTAATCAGTTACGTGTTAATCAGTTAGTCAACAATTGATCAGGCTTGCCTCCAGAAATTGTGGATGCTTCATCACTAGAGGTTTTTAAGAGACTGGACAGCCATTTGTCTGAAATGGTCTAGGCTCTCCTGCTTGAGCAGGGGACTGGACTAGAAGACCTCCAAGGTCCCTTCCAGCTCTGTTACTCTGTAATTTCTATATCTTGAAAGAGATCCAAGCCAAGATGTGAGCCCATCAAAGATGTCATAGGATCAAAACTAACATGTCCTTAATAGCTATGCATTTTAATCTTATTTCAGCCTGGCTGAGTATCCACAGAGTGGCTGATAAAGCTGATGCTCTCCTGTTTTCGTTACAAGCAACTGTGTACAGACAGTCCTTGATTTATGACTGTGCACTTAGCAACTGTTCAAAGTTATGACCAAATCCGAAAAAACGGACTTAGGTTCAAAATTTCAAGGGTTCGGCCCCTTTGGTGGTCATCTGAATGAACTTTGGTGCTTGGCAACAGGGCTTCATTTATGATGGAGTTTGCCTTACAATTGCCATGTTGGCTTAATGACCACTGCAAAAAAAAGTTGAATTGAATCAGTCACCCATTTCACGACTGTTATGATGTACAACTGCTCCATTACGGTGGGAGGTTGAGAACTGCCTATAATACAGAAATAAATGCTGAAAGTTCCATAAACTAAAAAAAAATGCAAAGGCGATTAAAAAAAAATTGCAAATGGTGGCAAAATCAGGAGAAAAGGACAGGATGGCGGGAAAATGGGAACAAATTGAGATTAAAGCTTGTGAGGTTCAAAAGCTTTTTTTTAATTATTATTTTCTTACTAGCAGAAAAATTAACCTTCTCTGCTTTGTTTTCCAACTAGGAATTATCTCCATGCTGCTGATCGCACACTGCAGATTCTCATCTGGGAGACCTTTGCACCCAAACAGAAACAATTCCATGTGTCATGATGTTCGGCCTTGCAAGCACCCTGTCTTTGATCAAGTGCGGTGCCTGGTGTCACGTCTGAACACGTCAGCTCCGGAGCTATTTGAGAGTTATGTAAGTGATCTCTGTTATACCTCTTTCCTACCTTAAGTATAAGTAGTCTTTGACTTACGACTGTAACCGAGCCTTGAATTACAGTCGTAAATGTATGCCATTTTGTGCACAAAAATGGAAGGATCCTTTGGTTTCCAAGAATGGACAAATGGCTGCAAAAGTTAATGGAGTTAGTAGATGTCTAAATGGACTGTTTTGATTAAAAGAAAAGAATGTAATTAATTTTGTTTCTACAGTGGTACCTTGGTACTCAACTGCTTTGAAACTCATTGAATCTGATACTCAATGCCAAATTTGAACCAAAATTTTTGTCCTGGTACTCATTGTTTGTTTGGTGCTCAGTGCACAATCTAGAATTTGTTAGTGCCGGCTGCCTTATGACTCATTCACTTTCCTTATAGGAAAAAATTTGTTTGTTACTCATTGTTTTTGATACTCATTGCACCTCCCAGAACCAGTCAAGGATGTACTTGAAAACCACTTCTAGGACTTTGTGCTTGAGGTGAAAAAAATATGGATGTTTGATTTTGGGTTTTGCTGATTAGAATAAGTTAGTTGCTATGGAAATGGCTAATATATATTATTATGTAAAAGTAAAAAGTTGAGGTTGTGTGTTATTACCTTATTCTACGGCACCAAAAGGAGTTGGAGGTCACTGCTTTTCTTTTGAGGAGTGAAGGTAGCACATGAATTTTGAACGTTCCCAACTTGTTTCACCCTCCAAACATGGGTGCAAAAGAGGGGAGGTGTCCAACCTCGGTCGTTTTAAGACCATGTTGACTGGGGAATTGTGGGAGTTGAAGTCCACAGTTCTTCAACTGGCCGTGGTTGGACACTCTTGGTGTAAAGATTGCATTCCAAAATGGAAGGGTCTTTTGCTTTGTCTTCTGAAATGAATGTTTTTGACGGCCCTTAATTTGGTTCTCTTCTTTCTCTGGAGCAGCTCAGAAGCCAAGGTCCCCCGTTCAGCGAGAAGAAGGAGTTGGATGACTTTTGTGAGCCTGACCACGCGTTTTCTCCTTTCGACAGCTCATTGGGTGACAAGGAGAGGGTGATCAACCTGTACAAGATCTTTGTCTTTTTTAACGCCTCCTTGGACAACATCACAAAAGACCAGGAAAGCTTCGACGGTGAGTCCAGGGAAGACTTGCTACGGCGACTCAGAAACACCACCAACAACACCGGAGGTCTCCTGTCCAATCTCACCTGCCTGCTCTGCTCCAAGTACAAGGTCAATCATGTGGACGTGACCTATGGCAATCATTCCAGCACAGACAGCTTTGGGAAGAAGCAAAAAGGTTGCCAGATACTCCGGAAATACACAAAAGTCATCAGCCATGCTGCGCAAGCTTTGGGACATTGTCGTCACAAGCAGACATGATGCTAAACTACCCTCCCTCGCCTGATCCTCTTTCTCCTTTTGTTCTTCTTCCTCTTCCTCCTCCCCCTCTTCCCCCTCCCTTCCTCCTTCCAGGGCTTCTGATACTTCTCCTGTCATTTCAGCCTCTAGGCCACTCGCTTGTCTTGAAATATTTTTCCACCCAGTTTTGAGGTGGAAATACCAGAGTATTTATTTGCATCTCAGGGTTGTGTTACACACAAAAAAATCAACCTCTCTGCCGGCTTTCCTATTTTTATTCCTCTTAAAACAGCCAGAGAGTCCAGCACCTTAACAAATTATTTAAAGGACAATGAAAATCAAGAAGATTAACTTATATTTGCAATAGTGGCGATTAACTTATATATATATATATATATATATATATAAAAGCAAAGGATGGGATGAAAGTATGGGAATTAACATTTTTCTGCTAACAGCAGGAATAGTTTTAATAGCCCTTTTTTGCAGGGCTAAAAAAAAACCTTCCCAAAGCCTCAGGCATTTTTGAAATTTGAATATTCCTTTTTAGTCAATGTCTAGTTTAATTTAATAATCGTTTAATAATAGTTTATTTGGTGTATTTTTATGATAATATCTAATGTTATTATTTCATTGTGCTGTATTGGAGATATTGGGCTGTGTGTGTATATGTATCTTTACATGCAGATATACACACAGCTACACGTATAGTTTACTGCTGGCTAGTATGAAAGATTAGTCTTTCAGCTGCCAGAATCCGTCCCTTAAAAAAAAGATTTTTTTTCTAGTGACTTCTTCCCCGGTACAAGCAGACATATAGGGTAAGAAGAGATTTTTGTACTATTTGAGGTCTGGACGACTGAGGATCTCCATAGACATTTGCCTTCCTTCACTACTGGCCAAGATAGCTGAGCCAAGATATTTGGAAATTCAGAATTCATATCTGGACAGAAGCTGAGTTGAATGAGGGACATCCCAGTAAATCCTGCCTTAATTTCCAACTCACCAAATGCCTTATTTGATCTCACTTTCCCAACCACGCAATCTTGTATGATAAGTAACAATGCCAATCTACCTCACAGGATTGTTGTGGAAATGATCTAAAATGCTTTGAATGTTCTACTATTATTTATTATTATTTTTTTAGGAAAAAAAAACCCACAATATTCTGAGACTTCTCTCCAGATCAGAAAGGATTTTATCTTTCAGTGTTTGGCCACTTGCTTTTTCTGCAAATTTTTATGTAAAGAAATTTCTTTTACACTATGCATAAATGTGCACTAAAACTGATAGAGAAAGAGAGAGAGAGAAAGACAGAAAGAGGTTGAGAGAAAAGGTGCAATCAGTTCCAAATTTTGATGAATAGAATAATCCCAGCTAGCAATTCTAATCCCAACCCCAACTCAGAAGGGAAACTTAGAAAAAGTGTACACAGAGCAAAGCTGCAATGGAAAAATGGCCAAGGTATTTTTCAAGCAAATTGGCGGATGTTGAACTAAATGAACGCATTGATTCAATTCCATGCAATTCACCTTTATATAGGCCAGCAAATTGGTAGTTAATACTCCATTCCTAGGCAACTTCCAAGCTATAGATTGGATGCATTCACAAAACATGCTTAGCCTTCATTACCGAATTAACCTGTTTTTCTAGATTTGCACCTGGAACTGAAACTAAAATCCCACTGCAAACTAGCCAAGATTAAGACTAACCGTGCTTAGCATGTTCTATGAATGCAGTCACTGGATGTGTAACTGACATGGTTAATAGGGTTGTGGGGACACGGCTACCTGAGGTTCCTCACTACGGAGAATTTAGTGTGCTTGAAGTGTTATCTCCTGGGACCTTCTCAGGATATCACTGACAAATGACAAGAGATTACTTTTAAAAATGAATAACAAAAGATAAATATTTGCATAGGTCTTTCAGAGGTGGCACCTTGTTGTGTTGAGCCATCAAGGTTCTGCAGCATAATTAGTCCTCTGAAGACTAATTTTTCTTGGTTTGTTTATCTCCCATTGCTTGGCGTGTACTCCTGGTCCAACTCCTTCTCCCCAACTGGAGATAATTAAAAAAAAAAAGGCTAGGTCTAGAAGATTTATCTGTTCCATTCCTCAGCTTCTTCAACCTTTCTCTCTATCCCAGCGTCTGAGATGGCTTCTTCTGATGGTTGACCAGACCAGAGCTTGCTAACCTTGGAAAGAGCCAGCTGTAAAGCTGGAGGGAACTCACCCAGAATCCATTCCTTGAAGTTCTGGAGATGACAGGGACATGAGGAAGGTATATAGGAAGGAACCCAGGTCAGATTCAGCTCTAGCACAATGAGAATGTGCAGAGATGCTCGACCAATGCATGGTTTCCTAAAGCATCGTGATTGTGCCTTAGAATTCGAATGCAATGTATTTTGCGTTCTGTCCAAAGTTTGGGACTTAGGTTTAAGGGAGCTCCCGCACTAGAATATCCTTAGACTGTTGTTCGTTGTTCTTTATGATGATAATGATAATAATAATAATTAATTAATAATAATATTAATAATATATTTATTTGGGCTTAGGCTAGTGGATGTTCAGTTTTGACTGAAAGAGGCACCAAGCAATCATCTGTTTGGTGTTAGCTCTCACAATGTTTTATGTGACTGTGTGAAAAATTATGGATGCTTTAATGGCATAAATGTTTATATTTTTATACTTTGGATTTTATATGCATTTTATAAAATAAATTGTATTTTTAAAAAAGACTCCTCAGAATCTTGTTATGATTTCTCAGTCTTAGCCACTTTTTGACCTTTGGGATAGTATTTAGATTGTTTCTTGTCCTGCCTTCAGGTGCTTTGGAGAATAGACTCCTTCTTCTTTGTGGCAACTCCTCAAATATTGGAAGACTGCTCTCATGTCACCCCTCGTCCTTCTCTTCATTAAACTAGACATACCCAATTCCAGCAACCGTTCTTTATATGTTTTAGTCTCCAGTCCCCTTCTCTTCTCCACACTTTTTCTAGAGTCTCAACATCTTTTTTATATTGTGGTGACCAAAACTGGATGCAATATTCCAAGTGTGGTCCTCCCAAGGCATTATAAAGTGGCACTAACACTTCACGTGATATTTATTAAATTTATATGCAACCCTTTTCACTGATAAGGTGACTCTGGACGGCCAATAGATGGAATTTGCTTTCTTTCCCTCTTGTTAAAACATTAAGCAAGAATTGGAAGGGGCTCAACAGGATGTTAAAAAGTCTATTTCAGTTCATTCTCTGGAAATCAGCAACTTCCCAGTTTCATCTGTGTGGATATACTCTAGAGTTAGCCAACGATGTCACTACCAAAACCGGCTTGCAGGAGGAAAGAAGCCAGAAAGTCACATGCTCTCTGGAAGAAATCCCAATTACAATCATGCCTTCACACTCCCTGATCAGCCACTGTTTGACACCCTCCAGGGCCACATTGATGGCTTGGTGGAATTTATGTAGCTATTCCAGAATAGGATAATTTGCCGCTGCCATCTCACCACAGACAACTCAATGTGGCCATCTCGATGTGGTCAACTCACTGTGGGATAATTTGCCACAGAAAATTCCATGTGGGATAACTCAACACAATAATTGTTATCTTCCATTGTTTCTTTAACATAATTTCCAGTTCTGACAACATTAAAGAAACAGTAGCAGATATTTATTGCATTGGCTGTGGTGAGATGGCCATGGCAAGTTGGCCACGGCGAATTGTCCTAGATCCAAGATACTACTATACTGCATAGTGAGACACACTTGGAATACTATGTCCAGTTCTGGGCACCATGATACAAAAAAGGTTGCTGAGTCCCTAGAAGATGAAGTCCACCCATCTTAAAATATGCTGGCTGGGTAATTCTGGCAGTGGAAGTCCACAAATCGTAAAGTTGCCAAGGTAGAGAAATTGTTGGTATTATTGGGAATACCAAAACAATTTGAAGAAGTTTGATCTGGGAGATCCTTATTTGGTCTTTCAACGACTGAAAGAATGCAATCATTTTTGAAATTTTGGGAAATCTTATTAAGAGTAGGAACTTGGGAAAATGTTTGCAGCAGATCAAAGGAAGGATTAGTTCAATAGTGGAATTTGTGACTATACAATAGGATGACTGGCCATTTACAGACCATTCAAAACATTCTAAGACACATTTGTAGAGACCAAACATATCAAAGGCTATCAAATATATGAAGCAGCCAAGTACAGAAGAATGACTGTGGACACCATAATCTGCTGATTGGGGCACAGGGATTGGTTGTTTCTCACAGGCTTTCCATAAGTGTTTGGATTTCCACTATGGGAAAGCAGATGTTGTGCTACAAATGTCTTTGGCCCTGTTCCAGCTGGATTCTTAATGTTCTTATTATCTCCCGGAAGGTTCCTTCCCGTTGGCTAGGTTCATATACCAGACCAAGCTCATTTACTGAACTAATCCATTTCCTATTAGAAACAAGACAGATATGAAGACTCACGTGAGTTGAATCCTGGGAACGTGGTGTCTACACAGTTTCCCTGAGAACAATATGAAACAAGATTGACCTTTTTTTCTTCCAGAATGTTTCGGGACATCTCCTGGTATCTTACAGGCCTGGGATTACCTTGTGGTCTTCCTTCCAAGGATGAACCAGGCCCTTTCAAGATCATCCATGGTTTGCTAGGGACTCACAGTTGCTTGAACTGTGGGAAATTCTCCAGTTTTGCTGTAGGAGTGTTTTTCAAACTTGGCAATGTTAAGATATAAGGACTTCTGGGGAGGTCATAAAATTTGCTGGCTGGGGAATTCTGGGAGTTGAAGTCTACACAAATTAAACTTGCCAAGTTTTGAAAAACACTGAGCTATGAATCTAGGGGATTCCATGCACGTAGTTTTCTTCACCATTTTATGGAAGCGGAGCTTTGATCCATTGTTGTGGTCACCACCTTGACTTTTTTTGACTACACTCTGTATGCCCCCTGCATTTAAGAAAGGAGCAAAGCCATTCCATTTCTGTCTTGTTCTGTTTTTGAAAATTAGCATAATGAGGTATACTGGAGAAACAAAAATGGTGATAGGAGCTGAGTCCAGATGGGATATATGGTAACCTGCCTTAGCAGTCAACTGGAGGGAAGTGATATCAATTTGAGGTCATCATACTTTCAAACGGATATCTATACATTCTGCTTTCTTGCTTATGATTTCCTGTCTTTAGCTTTTAACAGGAAATTTGTGGCAATGCACTGCAAGGATCCTTCTTCCAGGAAAGAGGCAGCTGGACTTTCAACATAATCTTACACTCCATGGGTCTTGAATAAATGAACGTGGCAATTGCTAAAATCCCATTGTAGTAGTATTCTAGTCTGCTCTTTTATTTTATAGTTGTAAAAAATGAAATCAACTGATATTTATTGGTCTCTTAACACATAGAGATACATCCTCTTTATGTGTGTGTGTGTGTGTGTGTGTGTATAAAAATAAATATACATTGCCAAATATTCTTTTTAAAACACATTAATCTCCCTTCATTTGTTCTTTGACAGCTACATTGCCTTTCTTGCAGGCTTCAAAACTGCAATTTTCTCCAATGGAAGCTCTTCTTAAAATGCAACCTGTCATCCTTTTCATAGAACTTTTTTTTTCAGCTGCGGTGTTTTCTAGACTTTTTATTAGGGAAAAACGGAAGTTAGATTTTGTTTCATATTAGCACTGGTGCTGCTGAAAAGTCTGCTTTCAGAAAGTAAAAAAATCATTTTCAGTGGAGGTTGCGGCAGCACTGAGCAGAAAACTGTGCTTGAAAGGGCCACAATAAGTTTTAGTTCAGTATGAATTCATTAGTTTAGTACAGCCTCATGTTACTAATGCTTCTCTTTTTGTAATATGTTAGAACAAATCTATATCTTGTCTCACTTCCTGCATCCAGTTGTGGTCACCACAATACCAGAAAAGATGCTGAGACTCTAGAAAGAGTGCAGAGAAGAGCAACAAAGATGATCAGGGGGCTGGAGGCTGAAACATCTGAAGAACAGTTGCTGGAATTGGGGATGTCTAGTTTAATGAAGAGAAGGACCAGGGGGGACATGATAGCAATGTTCCAATCCTTCAGGGGCTATCATGCAGAAGGGGGGGACAGCACAAGAAGTAACAAATGAAAGCTTATCAAAGAGAGATGCGACCTAGAATAAGAAGAAATTTTCTGACAGTGAGAACAATGAATCAGTGGGATGGCAGTTGGGTGCTCATCACTGGAGGTTTTCAAGAAAAGATTGGACATCCATTTGTACGGGATACTATAAGGTCTCCTGCTTTGGGCAGGGCGTTGGACTAGAAGACCTGACTTTCAAACACAGATCTGCATATCTTAAAACAATATCTTGCTCTTTAAAGCGGGGTGGGGTGAGGTAGCCAAAAAGTTTTTTACATTAATCTTTGATATGCTTCCCACAACCACAAAAGGGAGTGGTTGGCATATTTTTAAAGAAATGAAATGGAAAAAAATACTGCAAGAGAAATAAAAATTGGGCTTGTAGAAATTCTGGGAGTTGAAGTCCACTTATTTTAAAAGGCTGGGGAATTCTGGGAGTTGAAGTCCACCTATCTTAAAGCACGTCTGGCTGGGGAATTCTGAGCCAAGATAAAAAAGCTGCCTTGGGACTGAAACTGCCTTGTGATTCCAGCTTTAGAGATCCCACTGAGGACATCTGTGGAAGAGATCCTGGCACTGTGTGAATGCATGGAAACTGGGAAACTTGGCCTCATTTTGCATGCAGAAATGCAGCCCCTACAAAGGAGCCCTTTGAGCTATAAATAGAAACTGCTCCAAATAAAAATAGCCTGCCTTGGTATGTATGCATTTTCCAAAGAGTCAGACGGTGAGGAAGTGGACGGAAAAGTCCTCCCCATTCTGCAGATATTTTATCGCCCCGGAGAATACAGACTTTGCAGACAGCACGAAGACAAGCAACAGACACAAACTCTAAGTGCAATCAAGAATCCAGTCTCTTCGGACCACCTAGAACTTCGTGGGAAGCCCGTGAGGGTTGAGCCCCCCCCCCCCGCAAACAGCTCCCAGGGAGGCAACTGTGATGTGTGAGCAAAGTTATGAAACCGTCAGCCAGACCAAGCTTCGCCGGATTCTTGCCAAATCTCCAAGGGCAAGTGGATGATCTCAGATCCTGTTTGATCATGGCCAGATCTCTGGGGAATTCAAACCCCTTCTTCTCTCCATAAAAACATGCCTGTTCAGACGGTTTTCCTCTGGGCTGGCGGAGGGGAGAAATCACGAGGGATGACTGAGGTTGCCTCTTGACCTTCCAGTGATGCAAAGTGGCTGATGATGGTCTTGTCCTTTGGGCTGCCTGGAAAGATGGCTGGGTTCACAAATGCCCCATTGATGGCTGCGTTTAGATAGTCCTGTGGTGGGAATAAGAGCTGGCCTTGTGTCACCCACTGTCTCCCTCCCATGGCCTCAGAGATCTGCGTCACCCGCCCATCATAGCAAGAACGAAATCCAGAATCTCCCATGATTCCATGGCACGAAGAAACATATATATATATATATATATATATATATATATATATATATATATATATATATATATATATATATATATATATTAGATGCCAAGGGTTCAAAGATTTTTCTTTTCTTTTCTTTTCTTTTCTTTGAGAGTTCTAGTCCTACCTTAAAGCACGAAAGCCCACTGGGTGTGTTTTGGCCAGTCCCTCTCTCAGCCCAGCCCAGCCCAGCCCACCTCACAGGGCTGTTGTGGAGAAAATAGGAGGAGGAAGGGGTATTAGGTATGTTTGTTGCCTTGAGTTATTTATAAAAAAAGAAAGGCTGGATACAAATGAATAAATCAAAGATGAACTGCACAGAAATTCTCCAGTATTTTTCCTTACTGGCACTTGCTCAGTGATATCTTTATAGATGAGGAGGCATTTTCCTTGTTTTTTTCTTTTTGGCTGTGACTAATAAATACCTCCATAATAATTGCGTGACAATTAGCATTTACAGCTTATGGTGGAGTAGAGTTTACACACCGTGTAATGAAACCCAGCCATGCTTAGGGATATGGAATTGTCTTGGTTGTCTAACAGCTCCCCCAAGTAAAAAAAAAAAATGCCACAATTCTCTGGGGATTTAGAGAGGAATCAGAATCAGATTAGAGCTGGAAGGAGCCTTGGAGGTCTTCTAGTCCAACCCACTGCTCAAGCAGGAGACTCTATGCCATTTCAGACAGGTGGCTGTCCAGTCTTTTCCTAAAAACCTCCAGGGATGAAGCACCTTCAACTTTTGAAGGCAAGCTGTTCCACTGGACCTGGAGAGGGGAGATCAACTATACCCCAGGGTCCCTATAGAATTAGCCATAGAGCCAAGACAGGGTTACAGCTTCTGTGGCAACCTGTTTCACGGGCCATTAGCCTTGAGCAAAAGGGATTTTCCGGTCTGCTTTCCAAAGCTGGTGAGTGAAGGAACGGAGAATTTTAATCACATTCCAATGGGTAGAGTCTGGCGTTCGGTTCTCGCATCCAATTGGTAGGTTGAAATAGCTTCTCTTGTTTTGGTGTCACATATCTCGAGGGATGGGCTCACATCTGTGTGTATTGAACCTCACAACCCCAAAGACTTCCTCCCTCCTGTAAATTCAAATAGTCATGCAATGCCACTCAAAAGTCACTATTCAGGCATATTTTCAGCTGAGCACAGAAAGTCAACACAGATACTATCTGCTTAACAGATGGAAAAGAAAAACAACAGCTTTAATCTCATGTGTACCAGCATAACTGAGATGAAAGATAGGACCTCTTTTATACCCTGATCATATCCTCACTTAGAATCATAGAATTGTAGGGCTGGAAGGGAGCTTGGAGGTCTTCTGGTCCAACCCCCTGCTAAAGCAAGAGGCCCTATAGCATCTGGACAAATGGCTGTCCAGTCTCTTCTTAAAAGCCTCCAGTGCTGGAGCATTCACAACTTCTGAAGGCAAGTCGTTCCACTGATTAATTGTTCTCACTGTCAGGAAGTTTCTCCTTAGTTCCAAGCTGGATCACTCTATAATGATCGCCACCATTTACTTTACTTTTCACTTTCCTCTTTCTACTGTATTGTACTTTATTTTTCTTTACTGTACTAGCTTCCACCATTACTTAAATTGCCTTTCAACAGAACAGGAATAACCTCCAAACCTGTTAAAAATATTATGCCTACAAGGGCCTTTCATACATGTCCATAAGTACTAAAACTTTTAATAGATTCAATAAAGGATAACCATAGTTCACTGTAATTATCCATTCATTCTCTGTGTCTGTAGGCAACTTGTTAATAAGTCTCCAGGAACATCTGTTTTTCAATCCAGCGAGGAATTGGAGTCATAAAGTCCTTTTTCTATAAAAAGGATATGGAGAATCCAATTCAGAATAACAGAATAATAGAGTTGGAAGGGACCTTGGAGGTCTTCTTTGGATTTGCATCCCCAACCACATGATGCCTCGGCTGTCATGAATTACTACTCCTTCCTTCTCCCTCTCCAATGACCTCATCTGAGATTCTTGTCACAGGGAGAATGAAATCCAGCAATACCTGGGGCAGGTGAGATCCTTTGGGCAAGGCCCTGACTTGATGATGTCATAACAGTTGAGCAGGGCCCTTGCATCAGGCATTAGGAGCTGGGAATTTCCCATATTTTGTCATGACATATTTCGCAATGGGATGATGCTGTTATCCATTCAGTCATGTCCAACTCTTGGCAATTCTCCACATCTTCTGTTCTCTATTTCTTTGAGTCTTTCTATGCTTTGGCTGATGTCAGTATTGATGATGATTTTGCAATGGGATGGCCAGTCCAGCCCAAACTGGGAGGGTGGCCTTGAATGATCACGATCCTCAAGAAGACAGGAACCTTGGAGGTCTTCTAGTCCTTCAAGAAAGCGGGTGGTGGTCCATTCTCCCAACATCCTTGAAAGGTGTACTGCACTTTACAAGCTCTGCTGATCTGCAGGTGCAACAATTTATGGCAATTTAGTTGGGCCAAGATCTTCAACCACAAAGCTGCTGATGGAAGCCCTTCCTGATATGTAGCCCCTTTTCTGACTCACAAACTGGATTAGAAGGCATAAGCTATGAAAAGCAGCTACCAGATGCCTTCTGATTTGGGGCTAATGTAGAATAACATACGGGGAAACCTTGACTTACAACCATTTGTTTAGCGACCATTAGAAGTTACAATAACACTGTAATGACTGGTCCTTAGACTTATGACCACTGCAACATCCGCATGGTCATGTGATCAGAATGTGGATGCTTAGCAACCAGCCATGTATTTATAGCATCTCAGGGTCACGTGATCGCCGTTTGCAACCCTCCCAGTTGAATGAGACCGTCAATGGAGGAAGCCAGATTTGTTTAAGGACTGTGTGATTTACTTAACAACTGCAGTGACTCGCTTAACAACCATGGCAAAAAAGGTTGTAAAATAGGACAAGACTCCCACAACAGTTGCCTTGCTTAGCAATGGAAATTTTGGTCCTAATTTTGATCATAAGAGGGGGACTACCTGTAGTTCTTTTCTTACTTTGAGTAAGATCGGGAACATTCGTTGTTAGGGATCAAGGACACTTACACAACTGAGACTCGACCAATTTCTGTAACTTGCACGCACCACAATACGTCAGATTGTTCCTCTCCTTCTCAGCTTGACCTGAAGAGCGAGACCACGGTTCTCCCTTTCCCACCACTCATGTGCACATGTACTGATCGGAGAATAAAGGCAGCTGTTGCCTTGCAGATGTGCTCAGCAGAAGTGAAACACTGCAGATGGAGGACTGAGCGAGCTTTTCCAGCTGATGTTACATTTCAAGGCCTATTTCAGTGTTGTAGACAAAACAACACGTCTAAGTGAGCAGATGGTTGTACTCTGCAAGGAGGAAGAGATGGGGTAGGAATGTTGTTGCTCTCCCGGCACACCAGCTTGTGTTTATGTTGTGACTCTGCAGAAATAAGAGGAAAAGAGAGCATAATGAATTATTGAGAATGCTTCCCCACCCCCAATTTTGAATACAGGGTTGCAGATCGTTTGTTGCAACCTACTTAATACAGGTGGACAGTTGATCATGACATCTCAAGATGTAGAGCAGCATTTCTCAACCTTGGCAAGGTTAAGAGGGGTGGACTTCAACTCCCAGAATTCCCCAGCCAGCATGGTCCATAAGTGAATCGCCAGAGGTTGTTTAGTGAGATATCACATGACCATGACTTGCAACCTTCCTTGCTCCCACTTGTGGTTGTTAAGCCGAGGACTATCTTAGACGTAGGTGCTGGGATTAATTTCTGTTCTGCTAGCCAAGGGTCAGTTGTTAGGATGGGTGGCGTGCACCTTCGCAACGGGTCTGCTAAGTAAGTAATTGAGGAGAGGTTAAACCATAGCTCTTTATTTCATAAAGTTCAGTCCTCTTTTGAAGAACTGCTGGGCCCCTGTCCAATTTAAACCTGGAAAAAGAAAACAGGAAGCCCATGTAGTGCAAATGCAAGTTTTCTGTTTTTGTTTTTTTTAAGGAGTCTGGTGAAAGTGTTCACTTGAACCCGCTCACTGAGAGCGAGTTGGGCGGCTATATAAATTTTCATAAATAAATAAAGCAAATTAAATAAATCTCAGCATGCTTTAGCGCTCAACCCATCAAGGGAAGCCATGCATGGTTCATTTGTGGGAAAACAGCACGATACATGAACATGGCTCTGCTTGGTTAGCTGGGTTTAGAGTTTTAATGTGTTGCATGATAAATTGGAGCTGGTGTGCTCAATCTGAATCATATCAAGGGCATCACAAGTTTCCAACGCTGGGTAGCAAGCCTTGCACCAAATAGTTGTTATCGCTTAGCAAACTAGAGAAGGCTGGAACAAAATTCTCACATTTCTTTCGGAAGGAGCAAGCATCAATCATCTGATCACACACACGCTGGTTTTCATTTTGTCAGCTTAATCTGATCAAATGTCAAAGCATATCAGGCAATTATCTTTTGCTCACCAGAAAGCCCGGCCTTTTGAGCACAATATATGGGGCTTGGCAGGAGAGTTGCTTGAAGAAAACGCCGTCCAATCTGAAGAGATTTCTTCAGAGCGCGCATTCTGCGTTGATTAAAAGAGCCAGTTAATTGGATTTGAAATTGCAAGTCAGTTAGGAAGGGTCTTGTTCTTGAGAATACTTTGGGGGGGGGGAAATGCCTGGAACCTGTGTTGGTAAATAATATTTCTGCACTGACCCAAAAAGAGGCCTAAGAAAGTGTTTAATAGCAAGGAATTTTATGTTTGAATGTCATTCCATTTCTGTGGACTTTGTCGGTGGAGAGTCGTGTCAGTCTCTGATAGCCCCAATTCAGAAAGAGTCTACTAACAGCTTTTCTGAATAATAAATTTTAGTAAATGTCATAGGTGTTTGTGAGCAGCAGTTCACAAAAGTTTATGCTTTTTAATAAAGTTTTATTACCGTAGTCCTTGGTGCTATTTGAGTTTGGTTGTTTTGCTTGTTTCATAACCCAAACTAACATCATCATTGCTGGAAGGGGGGGTTGAGGAGAGGAGGAGGAGGAGGGGAGGAGTTTATCAAAGAAAGATCCAACCTAGAGTTAGGGAGACATTTCCTGACCGTGAGAACAATTAACCCATGGAAAAGTTTGCCTTCTGAAGCAGTGGGTGCTCCATCCCTGGAGACTTTCAAGAAGACATTGGCCAGCCATTTGTCCTGGGTGGTATAGGATCTCCTGCCATGGGTTGGACTAGATCTCCAAGGTCCCTTCCAACCCTATGTTTCTATGTTCTATGTTCTATGAAGTTTCTATGTTCTATGTTCTAAGAAGGTTGCAAAAAGTGGGAAGCAAATGAATAACAGAAAAGCGAAAGTGTGAAAGACAACCATTATGTTTTCTGTCATTCCAGGTATGGAGCTTAGAGAGTTGTATGAACTCAACTATATAAGTGTGCTTCTCCACGTTGATTTCTTCCCCATCTGTAATATCTTCTGATTCTCCCCAGGAAAAAAGTATGGTGACTAAGAATTTCAGCTGGGCTAGGGGACAAAGTTGTTGGCTTCTCCATACTTGCTCTTTTGGAGCCCAAATTGAAAAGCCACATAACAAGGCCTTCCTGACTTTGGCCAGCTTAAAAGCTTCAGCAGCCCGGGGTTGATGATCAAGCAAACTTCACTTCCTCCTCAAATGTTTTTCTAACTGTAGCTTTCTTTCCACCTCAAGTTCCCTCTTCCCTCATTTTCTCCATTCTGCACCAGAAGGGAAATTGCAGAACATAATAAGAACAATAAATATGTCAAGGCAACAAAAGGCAACTTGCTCCATGTGTGTTTGGGAAAGAAATTTCCGGTTGGCCAGGATTGCAAGGGAAAGAAATAAAAGAGAGGAAGTGGCGTGCCAAGAAATGTAGGCAAATTTTCAGTGGCTGATTTCCAGAGACAAGCAAGTCACTGGAAATTAAAGGATGTACCCTGGGGGGGGGGATGTCAGTAGAGGAATCAAATGTCAAGATGGAGGGGCTACGCTTAACCCTTTGGAAACATGTGATTTCTTTTATGACCCCCTACCTGTTGTGGATACCCCTGCAGAGACAAGTGGAATTGGTCAGCTAAATCTGATGAACAATTTATGGAATATAAACTGAAAGGAAAAAGTGGGAAGGAAGGGAAATGGAAACGGATGGGAAAGGAAAGGAAAGGAAAGGAAAGGAAAGGAAAGGAAAGGAAAAGGGAAAGAGAGAGAAAAAGAAAGAAGGGGGACAGAAAGAAATGAGGGGGGAGAAGGAAAGAAATAAGAAAGGAATGAAGAAAGAAAGAAAGAAAGAAAGAAAGAAAGAAAGAAAGAAAGAAAGAAAGAAAGAAAGAAAGAAAGAAAGAAAGAAAGAAATTTCTAGGTTTGATCTACCAACTCTGGGTCTGTTGTGGCTGAGTCATTCACAACAAATCATGACCTCAGCTTCCGAAGGGGAGGAGACCAAGTGAGTAATGGGGCAAGAGGCATCTTCTCCCCTCCTTTGACCCTGCAACTTTCCTCCACTTGGCATAGACCAACCCGGCACTGGGAATGCTGGCTAGTCAGAGATTGGGGAAGGGAGGAGGAAGGGGGCAGCCCTCTCCATTCTAGGCCCTCGAAAGGGGACCTCATCCCACACACCACTTTCACCCCCAACCCACTTCTCTTTAACAAAACAAGAGGGGAATCTTCTCCCAAAGCAAGCTCACACTTTAAGGTGGCCTCTCAGACTGGGGGGGGAGGGGTTGAGCCCCCAATGATCCAGGTCCTTCCCCCCACATTGGTTTCTTCCAAGGAGAAAAGTATTGAAGAGTGTCTCAGAAGCAGAAGATAAGGGATTCGCCTCCCCAAATTTGCCTGAGCCAATTTTTCCCCCTGGCAGAGTGGCGAATTGAACCTGGCTGAGACATAGCCAAATTTTGACCAGAAAAGGGCATTAGCAACAGAGTGCAGAATAAGGAACTCCAAAAAATTCAACTTGTACATTTACAAGGTTCTTCTAATTGCAAATGTGCGCCATGTAGCAAAACTACTCAGCTCTTTGGCTTGAAAAATATTAATTGCTGGAGGCGCCTCGTTCTCCTTGACTATCTAACAATTGCATAAGAGGCTGTTTGGGCTCAGATGAAAGGTTTGAAGCCTGAGGTTTCCAAGAGGAGAAGGACTGGAAGCAGGTGCCAAGTTTTTTTCAAAGCTCACTTTGTTAATTGTGGATCTTCCTGGTAGGGAAAATAGCTATGCAGCGGAGAATGCAGCTGAAACCAGTTGATTTCTAGGTTAGCCATCAGAGGTTAATGCACAACAGGCTGCGTTGCAGTCCTACAGACTAGGCGGGATTATAGGCAGTCTCTGACATACAGCTATAATGGAGCCTGCCCATTGGGGTTATAAGTTGTGACAGTCGTAAAGCAGGTCATCACTTGACTAACCCAATTCTTATGAGCCTTTTTTTTGTGGTGGTCATTAAAGAAAATTGTTATTTGGTTCGTTGGTTAACAATTATTCAATGGAATAGCTTGCCTTCGGAAGTTGTGGGTGTTTTATTACTGGAGGTTTTTAAGAAAAGACTGGACAGCCACCTGTCTGAAATGGTATAGGATGTCCTGTCTGGGGGGGGTTGGACTAGAAGACCTCCCAGGTCCCTTCCAGCTCTATTCTGATTGATTGAACCTAATCAAAAATGCTGTGGTCCCAAGCTGGTAACGGTTTGCTTGATCCCAAGGAAATAGTATGGCTTGGATTTTTGGAACTAGATATTTGAAACTCAGTTTGGTGAATATCTGAACAAGCAGAGTCTGAAAAGACAGCATCTGTGTTTACTGCTGACTTGGAAACCTCTTTTGAGTTATTCAATTTTGCGTGAAACGGGGGGAAAATGTGGTCCTTTGTGTTCTCTGAGCCTGGTTGTTTTCTTGCAGATGTTTCATTACCAAACTAGGTAATATTATCAGTGCTAGAAGGGAAAAACCCCACTCCCTTCTAGCACTGATGATGTTATCTAGTTAGGTAATGAAACGTCTGCAAGAAAACAACCAGACTCAGAGAACACCAAGGAACCCAAGCTTTTCTGTCAGAAAAAAAAAATGAACTTATCATTTATGGTCTTGATGTTTAGACAGGATAGATTATTGTATAAGAAAGCGGGGATATATAGTAACTATAGAGCAAGAGATAAATGTATAATTGTACCTGTAATGGTTACGAAGAAAATTGGAAGGTACTTCTTTGTATTTTCTCTCTTTCATTTGCTTTGGTACTTTTACTTCTTTCTTTCTCTTCTTCCTTTTCTCTTTTTCTTACTCTATATTAATTTCTATTCATGTTTTATCTTCTTTCTTCACAATTTTCATAACATTATATTTTTAAAAACGAAGAAACAGAGATGCCGGTGGAGTGCTTTAAGCACTGGCATGAAATCCTGTTTGTGCAGAAGCATCCTCTCCAGCACTCCACCCTCTCTGGGACACCTTGTATGTATTTACTCTATTTATCCTCGTTTGCCCCTTCCTTGCTCTCTGGGCTGGCCTTCCCCTGACTCCTGATGTAACAGGGTCCAAGCTGCTCCCCTTCCCTCTTTACTCCAGCCCTATGTTTCTCAGCCTTGGCAGCTTCACGGTGGGTGGACTTCAACTCTCAGGCATCTGTTGTTCTTCAATATTCTCAATGCTCTGGAGAACACCTTTCAGATTTTTCTTGGTGGTCTGAGCTGACTATATTATTGAAATCTCCTCTCCTCCTCCTTCCTTCCAATATCCTTCTTTCCCTCCTTTCTTCCCTCCCTCCTTCCTTCATTCCTTCCTTCCCTGCCCTTCCTTCCTTTTTCTTTTCCTCCCTCCCTCCCTCCCCCACTCCCCCTTTCCTTTCCCTTTAAAATGGTCTTCCAACTCCACCAGTACCTGGATGGGCTTCCCTACTTTTCTTGATCACGGCAGGGAAACTGCTTGGGAACTTCCGGTGGGCTGTGACTCAGGGACCCACTGACTCTGACTCGGCTTAAACTTTCAAGCCCGGACAAGTCCTAGCAAAGTCAGCCAGCTGTTTCTACCTGCGGCATAATTATTAATGAACAAAACAAATAAAAAATTAAAAGAGGTAATGTTGCAAGAGAGCCACCACACAGGGGAAAGACAAGCCTGCCCTCTTTGTTTGTATAAACCTCCAACAAACCTCCTACGGAGAACTTGCAGCTGCCTTGGACACCTGTCAGCCCTGGCCAGCGTGGCTGAGAATTTTACTGCAATATATACTTTGAACCCCCCCCCCTTCAAAAGGGGTGTGTGTGAACTCGATAAAAACATCATCTGTCATACACAAAACAAGTTTTACTTATTATTATCATCATCATATCTTGTTGTACGGTCACTAACACTTAAATCAACTGACATAAGGACTGGGAACAAAGCACCTCAGCTTGGACATGCAGCCAAGATTTTGAAACCATTCTCCAGCTGGGACTTTGATGAGAAGAGATTGGTTGAATTAGGGCAGGGGACTTCAAACTTGGCTCTTTGATGACTTGTGAGCTTCAACTCCCAGAATTCCTCAGCCAACGTGCCTGGCTGAGGAATTCTGGGAGTTGAAGTCCACAAGTCATAAAAGGGCCAAGTTTGAAGACCCCTGAATTAGGGGGACAAAAAACTTTGCAGATCCCTTTGCAGTTTATGGAGATTGAGAATCTTGGAGAATCAATAGGTTTGCAAAGGGGTTGTTAAATAAGTCAGGATAAATTTTACGATTTTTTTTCCCCACAGTTGTTAAGCGAATCACTACTGTTGTTAAAAGAATCATGTAATCATTAAATGAAGCCGATTTCCCCCATTGACTTTCCTTGCCAGAAGCCAGCTGGGAAGGTCACAAAAGATCACAAAAAGATCACGTGACCCTGTGGTATTGCAAACATTGTAAATTCATGGAGGTTGCCACATGCCCAGATTTTGATCATGTGACCCTACAAATGCTATGATAGTCATAAATGCAGGACAGGTCATAAGTCATTTCCTTCTTTCTTGGGTGGGTTGCCAAGAGCTGAAAATGACTTCATGGCACACCATCAATCCATCATAATTATTTCTGTTCATTTCCTGGTTGCCAATGCATGTTTCAAAAGGACACGCTCATCTAAAGAATGCAAGGAGCTTTCTAAACACATTGGGTCTATAAAACAACTCTCATATGACAAAATATTTTTTTTTTCCCAAGCAGAAGCCCCGTTGAATCCCCGACAAAGTAATACTCACCAGGGTTGCAATTGAAGCATGCCACCCAACCTGGCTTGAGGTCATTCATTGAGCCGGATAAAGTTTCTGAATCAGCCAGGGAATTTCCAAAGCCAAAGCAATTTGGGAGCTTGAGATGCTCAGAACAACAATAAAAAATCTCTCCGTGAGGTCTCCGGAAAACAGAGTGGGGAAAACGGGGATGGCTCAGCAGGGAAAGCCGAGAATAAAAGTGGCAGTGTGCTTGGCACGGAACTACCGCTCAGCCACACCGACTTCACAAAGATTTCATGCCCTGAGGTGAGATTGTTTGCCACACCCAAGTAAGATAGTAAAGAATGGATTTAATGGGATTATTTCAAGAGGGAAGATGGCGTGTTGCCCTGCTTGTCAAAGCTGATGGGGATAGATAGGGAACTATATTTTGCCAAATAAATTTATTGCATTTAATGAACCACTTCCTGAAGACTTCAGTTAAGGAGTTGGGGAATGTTGGTGTAGTTTTAGCCATGAACTAGACAACCCTTAACCTGTTGGGTCATCCTTTCAGAGCTATTTCCTTGCCTAAACAAAGAAACAGAATGACTAAAGTTGTTAAAAGCAGTGGGAGCAGGGATGTATTTCTGACTTCCTGTCGGCTTCCCCATTCTCCTTGATTAGTTTCCATCCGTTGTTTCTTGTCTTGCCTTCTGGGTCTAAAGAAAAGAAGAAACAGGGGTGACATGATAGCAGTGTTCCAGTATTTGAGGGGCTGCCACAAAGAAGAGGGGGTCAAACTATTCTCCAAAGCACCAGAGAGCAGGACAAGAAACAATGGATGGAAACTGATCAAAGAGAGAAGCAACCTGGAATTAAGGAGAAACTTTCTAACAGTGAGGACAATTAACCAGTGGAACAGCTTGCCCCTAGAAATCATGGGCACTCCATCACCGGAGATTTTTAAGAAGAGACTAGATAGTCACTTGTCTGAAATGGTCTAAGTTCTCCTGCTTGAGCAGGGGGCTAGACTAGAAGACTCCAAGGTCCCTCCCAGCTCTAGTCTATTCCAAGGATCAAGAATTGTAGTTCCGAAACATCTGGAAGACATCAGATTGGGGAAAGTTGCTTGATGCCACATGCTAATACGGATCTTGTCTCCCCCTTGCATATCTCTCCCCTGAACACGCAACACAGACCTCCCCTCCCCTGCCCAAGAATCTCTCTATAAAGTAAATACCTTCACCTGAGGCCAATGTCATGTCGGCACAACCTCTCTGTGGTTTTGCTCTGCATAAAGCAAGTGGCAGATCCTTAGACCATGAGGTCATACCTTCCCATTAGTCTGCATTCTTTGGGAAAACAAGCAGGCGTCCCATCCATTCATTGATCTTTCCGCATTTGCAACACCCCCTCGGGGCATCATCAACCAAAGGATTGGCACCGGGTTTGCATTCTTAGACGTCTTGATAACGCTTCAAAGCGGAACTCTTCATGATTCCTTGATGAAATGAAATTATTTGGAGCACACCCACATCAGCATTGTCTCTGCGGAGAAGTGATGATCATGAGGCAGATCTTCAGGAATCTCTGAGAATCTTCCGTTTTAGCAGAAGGGAGTCCAACTGCCCAAATTGCCTTTCCTGATTTTTGTCCTCCAAGTCATTAAGGGCCACCTCCTAACAGGAAAACACCTAGCAATTACTTTCCCTAACATGGGGTGAGGTAAGGTGAATTTAATGTCAAGTGGAGGAAATCAGGAGTCCAGGCAGTTGTTGTTATTCTACGACAGCAGCCCCCAACCTTATGAGCATCAGGGACTGGTTCTATGGAGAAAAGTTTTCCCACAGACTGGAGGGGGTGTGGTTTCACGTTTGACCCCTTCCCCAGGCTCAGACTGGTCACCTCCTACACTTAAGTCACTTGTCAAATTGCTGGATTAACAGATCCCAGGTGTTAGTGGGAGAGCAAAGATCGAGGGGAAGAATGGTTTTAAAGCTCCTGATGGTTACAGCCCCTCTTTTATATCTACAGGTTGTTGTCCTAATTTAATTTAGTCAGATGTTTCATCTAGACAGTGACCACCTACTGATAGTGGAGTCATTTGTTTTGGACTCAACTAGTCCGAACACTCATTATTCACCTATGATTTACGCCCTACTAACAAGTACCTTACACCTGTCTGGACAAACCTGCTCTCAGTTTAATTTGTTGTTGCCCATTTGACCATTGATTTCATCTACATGTTACATGGTTAACAGAAATAACATCTGGAAAAGCAGAGAGATTGATATAAATACAAAAAGCAGGCTAGTTAGAGCAATAGTCTTCCCTATAATGATGTATGGGTGTGAGGGTTGGATACTAAGAATGACTGATTGAAAAAAATTGATGCTTTTGAACTATGGTTCTGGGGTAAATTATTGCGTATACCATGGACAGGCAGAGGAACCAACAGAGAGGTGTTGAATCATATAAAACTGGACACATCACTAGAAGCTAAAATCATAAGATTACATCTGATTCACTTTGGCCATGTCATGCGTGCAAATTCATTGGAAAAGTCAATGATGCTAGGAAAGATTAGTGGATCAAGAAGAAGGGACAAGTAAAAAACTCGCTGGCTTGATACCATAATGCAATACAATAATACAAAGATGAACATCTAACAACTGAAAGAAACTGTGCTTGACATGGTAGCATGGAGAGCACGTGCCTATAAAGTTGCCAAGAATCGCACACAACTGAATGTTTAAAACAACAACAACAAAATTAGCTTATTGGCTGTATATCCTCTCCGGTGTACGTGGTAAGGCTGACAAGGAAATACGGGTGATATCTATCCTCATAAAAGCTGCATTCCTGAACAGAATCAATATACAAACTTCAGTTAAAGTCCACAAACATTCTCTCCATTGTTTGATATTCCTGCAAAGAAGAAGTGGTCATACCAGTTGTATTTGAGATCCAGGTGCATATTTATATAAGTTCTCTTCCACTTCATTCCGGGCAAGCTACTCTTCTGTGTTCAGAAATGATTTCGTGAGAAGTAAATCCGTTTTTTAATTGATGTCATTTTTAGATTGACATCATTTTTCGGTCATGACCATGTGGTTTCTCTCTCCACCCATTTTTTTTTAACCATTAATGTTGGTAAAGGTAGTCTACTCACCTCCAAGTGGAAATCCTGACATGTGCACAGAAAACATTTATAGGTTTTTGAAAATGACGGGCAATTTTCTGTTTCTGAGGGTTTTTTTTTTTTTTTTTTTTTTGAGTTCCATTCTTTGCTCCTACTGCTTTTGCTGAACTTTCTGCTTTTTATAGCCAGCACAATACCAATAGGTCTTCACATCGGTTGGATTGCAATCATGTTGGGTTGCTGGACAAGGAAAAAAAAAACCTGAATAATTTGAACCGTCTTTGAAATCCCAAAGTGAAAGGGAGATGCACAGTTTCTAGACTTTGATGGTCTGCTAAATGAAATGGATGACATTCAGTGAACAATAAGGACAGTTTTTGTTTTATGAATTGGGAGTTGCTCTGTATTGCAAATCAAGAATCCTAAAGCAGCGATTCTCAAAGATTTTGGTCTTAGGAACACTTTACATTTTTAAAAAGGGTTGTGG